CACAGAGCTAAATGATCTTTTTGGCTTTCTCTCTAGAACCTGCGCCAAGTACCACTCTTGTTGAAACTTCATAGCCTAGGAAATCTTAAATGACTAATGACTTGAAAAGATGGGGAGGATCAGAATTCCAGTGCAGACTTTAAAACAAAGGGGCTGTTTAGTAGTTTTCAGTACTGTGTGAGAGGTGTTTTCATGATGAATGCATTTGCCTTTTATTAAATAGTTTGACTGTGTTGTCCAGAGTTTGCTACTATTAGCTCCGTGGGGGGGGGGGGTGGCGGGGGGCAGATCCTCATGCACACATATGTTTGGAAACTAAAGGACAGCTTGAGGTATACCTCAGGGCGGCTCTCAATCTTGTTGAAACAGTTCTCTCACTTGGACCTTAGACTAGTTTTGACTAGTCTGACTGACCAGCAAGTAGCCTATCTCTACTTCCCAATGTTCGAGTTTCAGGCACACACCACCTCACCCAGCTTTTAGGTCGTTTCTAGAGACTGAATGTGTTTCCTCATGCTTGCAATAAGCCCTTTGCAAATGGAGCCAAACTATTCACTTTTTAAAGTATTCTTCTTGTGCATAGGCTCTATGGGTTTGTATTTCTGTTTGCGTCACATAGTTGCAGTTGTGCCCTGTAACATGAACATGACAGTGTTTCTAACATTTAATTTCCATTCTATTTCACATTGTTTAGAGACATCTTCATAGTTATAAGCCATGTTTCATCAAATTTCAGAAGCTCTTGGTGGTAACGAACATGACTAATTTATCTGTCACTAGAGGGGGATGGGTGGGACCTTGTTAGTTGGTGTGAAGCACTATCAACCAAGGGACACACCCCATTTTGGGAGGTGTTAGTATTTAAAAGACTTTTTTTTTCCCAAGTTGGAAAAGCTCGCAACATTCGCTATTGGTGTACAGAGTGGTTATAGCACTGTTTTCTTTTTTCTCTTTTTGGGTTTTTCACTGTTACAGTAATATTGCAATAAACCTGCTCTACACAAATTTGAATATTAAGGTGGGATAATAAGATTCATATTTTGATTATCTTGGGTTGTCAGAAATGCGTTTAACTCCTAAGCCAGAGGTTGTATCTAATATTCTAGAACCATAAGGCCAAATTATTATGCAGCTTTAACTCTCAGCAGTTAGTAATGAAAGAGTCAGTTGCATTGCACCATTATTCAGTTAGAGTTTTGTCAGCATAATAACAAAAGGCTGCATTATTTAGCTGGGTATAGTGCTGCACCCCTGTAATTCCAGGACTTAGGGGATAGAGACAAAAGAATCAGAAGTTCAAGGCCTCAACTATGTAGTCATTATAAGACCAGCCTGGACTAAGTAAGACACTGTCTCAAACAAAATAAAACAACAAAACCAAAACTCACTTTATTGTGTAGTGGGGAAAATAGTTTTCACTTTGAGTTTTCAGTTTTAAATTAAAGAAAGTGGTTAAATGTTTACTATGTATTTGTATTTCTGTGTTTTTCTATTGTCTATATATTATTTCTCTGATGGATTTTTTTTATTCTCAAAGAGATTTTCAGTTTTAGCTGGTTAATATGCAGGGTCTTACTGTGAAGCTCAGTCTAGCCTTGAACTCATGACCTTCCTCAGCTTGCACCATAGTCTTCAACCTGGCTAAAGTCTTCCGTTAGAGGGATGCTAACCAGTTCTCTTTTGAATTCCTAGCACAGAATTTTCTTGTTTGCCTGAAGTTTTAATTTTGTATAGAAATTTAATTTTTGTGTTTGTAGTCTATTTATAATAAATGCTTGGGTTGTTTGTTTTGCTGTTCTGGGAATAATAGAACCCTGAGCCTCATGGCTAAGCAAGCACTCTGTTGCTAAGCTGTACTCCCCTTCTTTGAGATTTATTTCATTGCTTCTAAAATTTTAGAAATGTATCTGTATTTATTTCGGGTATTTCTCCATTAATCTGTGTGGTTTTTGATGTCACTGTTGCTTACAGTAATTCATTGCACTTTTCATTTCATTTCCTCCCTGCTGATCTTTTTAAATTTTGTTTTTGCCTGTGAGAAAGATGCAGTGATAGGAAACAAGCTTAGTATATTCACGGCCCTAGTTTCCATTTACATTTGCAAAAATATATTTAAAAAAAACCAAATCTGTTGTGCTTGCTTATCTGCTATTTGTTCATAATTTCAGCTAGGGGTGTTTTTGTAACCTGTGATTGGAACTATATCAAACCATGAATTTTAGGAATCATTGGTATTTTGATATTATTTAGACTTACCAGTCAAGCATAGAAACTGGTGCTCTGGAGAAACCCGGTACATATGTGTAAGCAGGCAGGCAAAGGAATATGTGATATGGTAATTCTTGCCATTGTTAGTAGTTAAGAGCAGTAAGAATCTGGAGGACAGATGAGGTCACTGGGACATAGTTATACAATAGGATGCTCCACAAGCAGCCTAAGAGCTTGCTCTGTCTCACCTCTTTCTAAGAAATGGATAGGAAGCTTTCTACTCCTTTAAAAATAGTATATTTAGGGGCCTGATGGCCCAGCAGTTAAAACATGTACTTCTCTTTCAGAGGACTGGAGTTCTGTTCCCAGCTTCCATGATGGTTGGCTAACAAATGTCTGTAACTCCAGCTTCCCGGGGTCTTATTGCCTCTGGTTTCTACAAGTACTTCTCATATGCACATACCTACATACAGACCCACATGCATACATATAATTAAAAGTGATGGAAAAAATTTTAAATTATTTATCTAACCATTTTATTTAGAGCATTAGAACTTTATAATTTGTTATATTAAATAAAATATCATAGTAAAATAGCAATTTCTTTAGATTAGAATATATTATTTCATTTAGCTTAAAGCATCAATGAGGAAAGTGCTAGTGAAGAATTTTATTTTCAAATATAGACCACATTATTACTGCTCTTAGTCACCCTGTAGTATTAGATCTGAAAATCAATCCCTTCTATCTGAAGTTCTCAATCAGCAACTGCTCATTCCCTCCCTTCTCAGTTGCCCATCTGGCAACCATCATGGTACTCTCAATTTCTATGAATTCACTTGTTTTAGAATACCTGTCTCTCTGTGCTTGACTTAATACAGTAATGGTCTGTGTTGTCACACGTGACATAGCCCTCTCCCCTTCAGTATTGTTTGTGTGTGTGCGTGCGCCACAGTGGGTTATGTGGATGTCAGAGAATTGGTTTTCACCTTCTGCCTTTACATTGGTTCTAGGGATTGAACTCGGGTTGTCAGACTTGTATAGCAAGTGCTTTACCCACTGAGCCATCTCGTTGGCCTGACTTCCCCCGTTTTTAAGATCAAATAGCATTCTTTGATATCTGTCTTTATCAATCCATTCATAGACATTTTGTGTGTTATGATGTGTGATGTGTGTTAGCTGTAGGAGTGGTGCTCGGTGTTCACGGGATGCAGATACCCCATTCACACATTGACTTTTATCCCTTTGGCTATGTCTCCTGGAGGAAAAATATTGACCAACTAGTGGGTGGTTCTACCAGTAACTTTTTGAGGCCCTCCACACCATTTCTTGTCCTAGCTATACCAGTTTACATCTCCCTTTTGTCCATATTCTCACTAACGCTTGTTATCTTTCGTCTTTGTATTTGATTGGCTTGTGTCACAGTTCATTGAGACCTAATTGTGGAGCATGGTGTGGAGCATATCCTGGCACTGCTCAGGTGGTCATCCCTCCCTCCCATGGGTGGGGGTGTGGCCCAAGGCAGACAGATGCTACCAGACAGGGATGAAGTAACTACAGGATTGTTTCCTTGTCTCTGATTTAGTTCTTTCTGCTTCTGTCACTATTCCTATTCTTTTCTTGGAGATATTTGACGTGGTTTCCTTTTGAACTTTTTAAATTCTTTTTTATTGTTCTTCTCAGATGAATGAATTATAATTGTAAATTCACAGCCTCCCACTTGTCCTGCCAACTATATGAAGGCTTCCTTTCAAGAACCATATCGGATTTTTAGCATTAATTTTGTTGAGCTGTTTGTGGGCTTGATTCCATTTATTCTTTTCAGCATTATATGTGTAGACATACATAACCTGTGTGTGCAGACACTGTATTAGCTAGAGATTTAATTGTGAGGCTGTACACTTTCCTTCCCAGAACCATGTTTATTTTCCCATGGTTCTATGAGAATGCATGGGGCTGCTCAGTCCAAAGTTTTTTTGCATTTTTTGCACATTGCTGTTGTTTTTGAAAGGCCATTCTGTTGGAATGTGCTTTGAAAGAGGAATTTTATTTCTTTTAAAAGCCACAAGACAAATTTACGTTTATATCTGATCATTAATCTTGACTAGAAAAGTCCTTTAAGTGATGGAGTTTAAAGAATTCTTCTTCGTATTAGGCATTATATCTTTTGCTGTTGTGATTCTATTTCTTGGGTTTTTTTGTGTGTGTGGCTGACTTTTCCACTACCCTCTCTGCTGTTAGGTTTTATGGGGTAACATTTTATTTTCTTCATATTGCTATAAAGTACCTACAAAAATATAATAATATTTACGCACATTTATATCCTTTCCATCATTTTAGGTTTAAAAATGTTACCATTATCATTATTTAACCTTTCCTTCTTTACTTTAAGAGCCTTTTCGTTTTAAAATAGAAAAGTGATAGTCAAGAATATTCTGAATCTAGTCCATTCATCAAGACTAGGTAGGAACTCAAATATTGTTTTCCCAGTCCTGACGGTAGAGTGGAGGGCCCTTGCACATGCTGGGCAACTGAGCCACACGCTAGCCCTGAGCTTGTGTTTATGTAGCAAATGGTTCTGAGTCACAGTTGACTCATTTTAAGTGTGAGTGGGCGAACTAGACACAGGTCGAACAATGCCCAGAGAGTAAAATCAGTAGCCAAGTGTGTGCCATGGGAAAGGTATCCAATCAAGAGTGGATGGGACTGGCCAGTCTGGAGAAGTGGGCAGGCTAGGAGCTGAAAGTTACCGTGTTTTAACTTGGCTTGTTTTTGTTTCTTTGTTTCTTTAGCATTCCATATTGGAAGAAGAGATCTTTAAACATGAAAAAAATGCCTTTGTTTAGTAAATCACACAAAAATCCAGCAGAAATTGTGAAAATCCTGAAAGACAACCTGGCCATTTTGGAAAAGCAAGACAAAAAGACAGACAAGGTATGATTTAAAACAAAACCATTATTAAAATGTGTGTGTTTCAAGGCCACGCCCATGTAAAAGTTTAATGAAGAATTAAGTGTCGTAGGTTGTTTCGGGTTTTTATGCAGCTAGTAAATGTTGGGTCTGTTGTACTGAACCTTTCTTCAGTGTCCCTCTGACCCAGCCCAAGTCTCTGCAGACATAGAGCTGTCTCATACTGTGTTATGGTGATGGGAAGAGAGAACTGCGCAGTTCTCTACATTGTTCTGAGGTCTGACCAAGGGCTTTCTCATAAAGAGGCCTTTGTTCATTCTTTGAAGGAATTTTAAATCCCACATGGTTGGTTCTCTCTGCAATGACTAGATTCAAGATGACCTGTTATAAAATAAGAGATCTTAGGGTCATAGTGTGCTTCTATCTCAGTATGTGATAAACCCTTAACCTTTCTAAGAAATTGGAGAAATATCTTGTTCTAATTCTGATAGTTTTTGAGACAGCCAAATTTTGGTTTAAATACAAACTAAAAATAACCTTCATAAAGTATTTAAATGGCAAACATTAAAAAGAAAAATTAAAAACCTCCAAATTTTCATTATTAACCGGGAGAAGGCCAGTTAAGCCCAGAACACATTCACGTTCGCCGCAATGCTGACGAAGATTAAGAGCAGGACCACTTCTACTCGCTACACGTGACAAAACACATGTGTCTGAACTTTGGAGACATGTTCAGTAATATCTGAGTAGGAAATATGCATTGTGAAGATCCTACAGGCCCACTAATGGTACATGGACACATTCTGTGGGCATGTTTGTGAATATGCCCACTATACCAGTCTTTTTCTTTTCAGCCACCAGCCACCACCCTAATCATGACACAGAAACTTATTAATAGTTTTGAATGCTCGCCCCAGCTTAGGCTCATGTCTGGCTGGGTCCTTTAACTTAGATTAACCTGTTTCTCCTTTTCTACCTTTCGCCTTGGAGCTTTTCACTTCTCTCTTCTGTATATCTTACTTTCACTGCTTCTCATGTCCGCTTTGCTGGCAACTGCCTGGCTTCTGGCCCCAGGCATCTCTCTTGTTCTCTCCTCTTTTTCTCCCTCATTCTCCTCTCGAGCCAGGATTTCTCCTCCTGTTTATTCTCTCTGCCCGCCAGCCCCACTTATCTTTTCTCTGCCTAGCTGTTGGCCTTTCAGCTCTTTATCAGACCAATCAGGTGTCTTAGGCAGGCAAGGTGAAACAAATGCAACACATCTTTCCATAGTTAAACAAATGCAGCAGAAACAAAAGTAACACACCTTATACAGTTAAAGTAATGTTCCGCAGCATAAACACATGTAACATATCTTTGCCTAGTTAAAATAATATTCCACAACAGCACACCAGGACAAACACATGTGAATGTATTGTAGATCACGGCTTCTTAATGAGAACAGCCCCCAAATTCACAAACAGTAGGACCAAGAAAGATGTTGCAGCATACCCACCCGTGAGTGGAGGAGTAGAGATGGGGCACTTGATGAACGGCTGCCTCCATGCAGCCGCAGAGATGAGTTCCCCCAGTGGAAAGCTGAGTGAAAGGAGTAGAGTGTGTGGGTGCAGGTCTTCCTTAAATTTCCAAATTAGAGGGGTTACAGCAACACACGAAGGTAAGGAAAGTAGAGAAAGGTGAAACAGCCATTGTGCCTGAGGTTACTTGCTTATACAAAGGCAAAGTTTATTTGTTCTCCGAGTTTTGGAAACTTCAGTCTATGATCAATCGGCCACATTGTTCTGGGGCCTCTTGTAGGGACAGCCCATCATCGTGTAGAGAACCCATGACAGAGCTTGTAGCTGGGATGGGAAAGGAACAAAAGAAGATCATATGGCCCATCCCACAATCCCATTCAAATGCATATTCTCGGTGACTAGGAGAGACCTCCCCTGAACACTTGGGCCTTTGGGGAACATTTAAAATCCAAATTATTGTAATCTCATGAAGTGTATAAAGGTAAAAAGGTGCACAAGGTGACAGGGTGCTGAAAATATGGTCTCCTGACTCGACCTCATGATAGCAGAAAGCTTTTCTTTATAGGTATTCTTAAGCCTGTAATAAGCTAAAGAATTTGAGGAATGCCTTTTAAAAAGTAGTGCCATGCTGACAGAAGTTGTTTTTTGTAATCCTGTCTTATTCCATTCATTTTCTTCTCATTTTTGGTGATGTGATACTTGCAATATAAAATCAACCAAAATATACTTTTTTAAAAATAGAAACACAAATTGTTAACTAGTCTTTCTTTTGTCAACTGTACTAGTTTAATGAGGGCTTTTGAGGTAGAATTCTCATGCCATATAATTTCTCAGCTTTGGATTTTTACAACTCACAAGATTGTGCAACCATCACCGCTATTTAATTCAGGAACATTTCCATCATTCCCGAAAGAAGCCCACACCCATTAGTAGTCATTCCTCACATCCCACTCCCAGACTTGACACTAGCTGCCTTCTGCCTCTAGTTCTGCTTATTGTTCTTGAACTGTGATAAACTGATATAAGCTTTACAAGTAGAAAAAATACGATTGTGTAGGAGGAATAAGCATGTCAAAAGTTTATGAGTTGTATATAACAACTTGGGATTTTATGCCTGGACTGTTGGAAGACCAAAAGAGTAGGGATCCATTGAGAAATTGTAGCAAAAAATTTGTAGCCTTTGGTAATTCCTCAAAACACTCGACATACTTTTCAAGAATACACTTTCTTTTTAGCTTGTCTCAAATTAGACTATGAATAATATTGTTTGAGTCTTTAGTTATATTACTAAGAGAAAATATAAGGAATCTTTTCACATAAATTATAGTAACTTTTTTTCAAGATTAAAGAAAGCAATACCTACTAATGTTGCTGCTATTGTTTATAGTCAGAAAATGATCTTTGGTTATAAATAGACAAGGCCCAAGAAGAGTGTGTGTGTGTGTGTGTGTGTGTGTGTGTGTGTGTGTGTGTGTGTTGTTGTTGTTGTTGTTGTTGATGGAAGTTGTTTGCTGTGTGTGTGTTGTGTGCTCCCTTACAACCTAAAATTTGTATTCTTTCTAACTATTAACATGCTTTCTGGTCACTAGGCTTCAGAAGAAGTGTCAAAGTCTCTGCAAGCAATGAAGGAGATTCTGTGTGGTACAAATGACAAGGAACCCCCTACAGAGGCAGTGGCCCAGCTGGCACAAGAGCTCTACAGCAGCGGACTGCTGGTGACACTGATAGCTGACCTGCAGCTGATCGACTTTGAGGTGAAGGCTCTGTCCGAGACTGCCCCTCCTGCTTCTCAAGTAACTAGTGAGCGTCTGTGTTTGACTTACAGTGACTGATGTCCCTCCTGGGTCTCAGCAGTAAACAAGTTCGCACTTGACTTAAGACAGTTAATGTCCACATATGGTAGAAACAGCTTTCCTAAAACCTTTACAGTCAAACTCATTAGCAAGCAAAAAAGCAAATTGTAATTATGTTTTTGGCAGCTGGGTTAATGACCGCTGTTCACAGGAGAGAACAGTTGCTTGTACACAAGGTACAATTTCAAGCACACAACTCATTCTTAGAACGACCTTTATGGCAAATAAATTGTGTTCATTTATTGGGGTGTGTGTGTGTGTGTGTGCAGTTAGTTGTGTGTCCTAGTTCATATCAGGACGACTCTTTGGGTTCTCTCCTGTCACCTTGTGGGATCAGGAGGTCAAACTCAGGCCATCAGGCACAGGAACCTTTTCTCATTGAGCCCTGTTTCTCATTGAGCCCTGTTTCTCATTGAGCCCTGTTTAACCCATGGTATAGATAAAGAACCCAAAGCTCAAGATTTTAAGTAATCTTCTTAGAGCCATGAAGTTGCTAAGCTGTATCTGTGATCCAAAGACTGTATTATCAAGCCTGTTCTCATTAAAATACTATACCAAACCAATAATTTATTAAATGCCAATATGGTCGTATGTTTTGACATCATTTTGAAAGCAGTTTAACCAAATTTACCAAGCAATTAGATAAAATAAAAGCAGTATGATATAAGCATTTTATTATTATATATTATTATTTATTGTATACCTTGCCTAGTAGTGGATAATGGGAATATTTGTGGCAGGTTTGTATATACACTGTTTAGAGGATAGTCAGCCTGTTTTCCTATTTCTTTCTTTCTACCAATATACTTGGTAGTATTAGGTGTTTGTTTTTTGTTGCTTTTTATGGACAGAAGATAGTGCAGATTTTTAAAAGCAAATTGCTGTTATCTTTGATTATAAACAGGTAGAAGAAAATTAACTACAGTGATTCAGCAGACATAAGGTCAGGGTTCTAGGAATCTGTGGAAAACTAACCCACAGCTCCCTGAACAGATGAGATGGGTATAAAAAGTGCGGACAAGACTGTTGGGGTTGTAAAATCAGGGTGTGCTGGAGAAGGGTCTCAAAGGACCCCGGCTTTAACTCATTCTTCCTTTCAGATACGACTGGCTGTCTCTTCCTTTCTCTCCCTTATTCTGTTTCTCCATCTGATATTTTCTGACCCATAGTGTCTTCTCTTCCTTGGGCTTGACTTGTTAAATCTCTGTCTCCCTACACTTGTTCTCCTTTTCACCCTGGCTATGCATGGAATCGAAGCATGCTTTTACTGTGTTCGTATACGTAAATGTTTCTTATTTAGTTTAAAATTAGATATCATGAACATAGTAGAAGCTTGGCATAGTGGAAAACACTTGACTTGGTTATGCAGCTGTCTAGAGTCCAGCCTTTGCTACTCTTTGTACAGCCAGTAAATGAACTCTTTTAGCCCAAATCTTCTCATCTCTGTCGAGCAATGACAGGAACTGATAACACTTCTGACCATGCTAAACTATGTAAAGACATGCATCCCGTCACGTGCACACAGAGCCATGAGGATGAAGGCAGTCTCTCCAACTTTCCTAGCCTGCCTGTTTCCATGAACAGCAGGCAAGGCCCCGCAGCCTGGAGGCACTTTTCCTTCTTCAGACCAGAGTATCAATTCAAGCCAATGACTGCTTGATAAAATTCTTTCAAAATGTATTCTAACCATACAGAACCCCTAACCCTTGTCTCTCAGTTCATGGGTAGCATTCAGAAGCCCCTTCGGTTTTGAAAGTACCTTGGATTCTAGGACTGTGTTTCCTACAACTGAGCTCCTGTAAACAGAACTTCTGAGGCACCTGGGATTTTCTTTGGTGCACTCCGTCCAGTGTCACATAGCACTTTGAACATGCTGTTCTGCTCCTGCCCTTGGTCATATGCTTTCCAGCAGCCCTCTGGGAAGGGACTAATCTTAGGTTGGTTGGTTGGTTGAATATAGGATATAATAAAAGAAGGTACCCTAGCCAGGCACAGTTGCACACTTACAACCTCAGCATTCAGAAAGGAGGCTGGGCTGAGAGGATCAGATGTTCTAGGCTTGTTGGGAGCTATTTAGAAAACTGTTTTTTTAAAAAAGACATCAATAAGCCATTTTTCTTAAGGAATTGATAAATTATTTGTTAGACAATTCAGACTCTTTTGAATGGTGATCATAGCATTTCCCAAAAGGGGAAATCTTTCACCGTGTGTCTTTGAAGAGCACAGCAGGTATTTGACTAGAATTTCTGATGTTTGTATAACTGGGAGGAAAATTACTGTTTTAGGGATGGGCTGCTGTTCTTGCCAGATAACCCAGGGGAAGAAACATTCCTTGCAGAGAGGGGAAAGGAACAACAAAAGTATGAACTTTTGTTTAGAGTCCACCGAGGTGGGTATGAGGCAGGTTGTTAACTGTAAAGGTTGTATAGTCTCTGGGCAATGACTGGCGGGAACGCAATGGACTTGGCTACCCCTTTCAGAGAACGGTAACAGAAATAGGAGAGTAGTCTTCTTTAGCAGAAGGCTAATAGAGTAGGAAATGGAGAAGTGTTTGGAACACGGAAAGAGAAGGCTTGAGAACACCACCAGAAAGGAAGGAATGTAAGGAAAATGATGAGTGAATGTTTTTCATGGGTCCCAGCTTCACCCTTATCCTGGAGCCTTTCGTAGGGACTGGTGTGAATGGTGATTGTTGAGGGAAGGACACAGAATGATTTTCTACACTCAGGAGGATGAGAATTACCTGTTGCTGGACCAAGACAGTTAACAGGGTTTGCAAACTGGGAGTCAGAGATTCAGAGCTCACACTGACAACAGTGGTGCTGCAGAAAGCAGGGACATTAGCGTTGACATCTGGGACTAACGCAGGAGTATGTGACAAATTCATTTCTTCTTTAAGAATCTGGAGGAAAGTGACCTGTAGGGAGTGGGACAAGAGGGGAAGATTCTGCCATCAGTAAGTAAGAGCAAAAAGACAGACCTGAGTTTAAAAAAGAAATCTCATTTCTCAGCCATAAATTCTTATCTAATCCTTTAAGCCTTAAATTTGCTGACAGAAAAGAAGCATGTGAGTATATTATAAGGTTGAGGGGGGGTACGGGTAGGAAGGAAGGACAGACTGACCTAGCTTTACTGGATTCAGAAAGACTGATAGAGCCAAGGGGTGCTGACACAGCCTTCCCTTCAAACACCTCCAGACATTTCCTGGACCCTATTAGAACAGAGCCCATAGCACAGTGAGAGAAAAACCTGGAGATGGCCTCATTCAGATTGTAAGTTTGAGTGACTCCTGATAGTAAGTGAAGGGAAAGGAAAATAGGACAGGAAAGTCATTCAGTTAGACCATGGACTCACCCTGGAGTCTGGAGGTTGAGAAGCAGTTTAAATAGGAAGGGAAGAGTCATGTGGTGTCCAGAGCAGTTGCCAGCATCTGTCTCAGTCAGGTGAACATGGAGAGTTGCACATATTGGCTGAGCTTACAGGATGTGTATTGTACTGTCTGTAAGGCAGTGAGAGACTAAGGAGTGTAGACTGTTTTGTACTGACAGAAGTTCTGCAGAGCATCCTGGGATACAGATTGGAGGACAGTGACCTCCCAGACCTTCTTTATGATGCTGCTGAACTCCCGTGTACCAGCAAGGGGACTGTGGCATGCTCTTTCCTTTTTGGGAAACTGCAGTGAGCCCGTTCACTGGAGATCGTTGTAAAGGATCCAGTGGCACTAGGTCGGAGTCCTAGGACATGAATTTTCCATAAGCAATTCCATTGCTACTTCCTGCCATTGCTCCAAGAGCCTCAACCTCAGCAGCAAGATCAGCCTCCTCAAGAAAGACAACAGAAGGTTTATTGTATTCTCTCTTAAAAACAGTGAAATGGTGCCATTTTGTAACTGGTGGCTCTGTCTTATTCTTTAGTACCAGCATTCAAAAGGAAGAAACACCAGAACTCTGTGAGTTTGAGGCCAGTTTAGCATACACATTAAGTGCCAGGCCAGGCAACATCATTAGACCCTGCCTTACAAAAGAAAGCATGGCACTTATGACTAAAACAGCAAGACCTCTGATGTTGTGGGCTCAAGATTAAACTTAGAACTGTGTCTTTTGAAGTTTGGCCACTACTTAAGACATAGTTTTAGGTCATTTTATATTCTGTAATGCAAGGTGGTAAGAGATCAAGAGGTTAAAAATGTATTGCCTGGCAGGACTGATGCATTTGCTTTAAAGGCAGGTATGCCTTGCCACGTAGGGGTGAGTGCAAAAGTCGTGTGTTCAGGCTGAATGAGCAAACAACTCAAAGTGGCAGAAAATTGCACTGTGACCTAGCGATCATTTCTTACTATTGTCCAACTAGTTTAGTAAAGCAAGGGAACAAGCCACTGTCAACAAAAGTGTGTGAGCGAAGGGTTTCAAGCCAAGATGAGGAGAGCCACCTGAAGAGGCAAGGATAAGTGGAACGAAAGGGGGTGCGGAGAACTGGTTGGTACAGTTGGGCTGGTTGACTAGAATAGCACAAGCTCTTGACTGGTTGTTGCTCGCTGGTGTTACACATTCAAGGAAAGAAAGCATTTTTCAAGCTGTTTAACTCTCTCTAACAGCACTCGTTCTCAACACAGAACCAGGGATGAACCAGTTCAAGGTTAAATTAACCAGATCATGAGATTTCAGAGTCCCAGAGGGTGCCGCTGCTATGGTAACCCATGACTGCCTGGCACAGTGAGGGCTTTCAGACCCTCTTCCTTTATATGCAGCTTCGCCATGGTAGAAAGCCCCACAAAACAGACTCCTCATCCTTTCAGTAAGATGCTTTATTGTCCAGAGTTTATGAAAAATCTTAGTCCCTAAACATAGTTCCCTCTTCTCTGGCCTCATTTAAAGCCATTCTTTTATTTTTATTACTTTGAA